CCTGACCCTGACCTTCTGGATGTAAATTAGTTTTACAGCCCTTAAAACAAAGAAATATTTCCCTTGCGTCTTTTTGAACTGAATATAGCTCCCAAGCTTATGAAGTCGTTAAAAGTTTAGTGATGGTTTATATGTGGAACGTCTACACAAGTTTTTAATATCGGGCAAGAGACGTCTAGAACGGTAACTCGATAGAATCATATAAAATTATTTATCTTTCAAAGCAGTATTTGAGGGATACTACAAGCAACCCCCACCCTACACCCCCCACCCAAAACGCCCATATTTTAGGGGGTATGAATGTAAAATCATTTTATGGGCCATTAACCTGCAGAAAATGCTGAAATTTTGTAAAATCCTTATATATATATTTTATATTGGATATTCGGAAACGTTTTCTGCTGGAACTACGGTATATACGTAAGGGTTGGCCTTCTAATATGTTTACTGATGTGTTGATTCCCGAGAGTATCGACCAAGGACAAGCGTTAACATATTCTTTTTTCAAGCGAACACACATTTCTCCAATTACAAATGTAACTAAACAACGGAAACAAGCGCAGCGTAAACCAAACTACCCAGAGGATATTTGTCAACACAAGCATTGTTTCATTTATGACAAACTGTTGATACAGACAACGCAAATCTTCTTGAATTAGAAGAAAAAACAAATAGAAAAACTAATTGGATATAAATGACGTTTGGTTTAATTAAAAACAAAATTAATCCAAAATACCGTTAATATATCATTAAAAATACCAGAATGTATTTTCAAAAACACTTGTATATAGGTACAACGCAGACCAGGCCATTTTGGTTACCATGCAGACCAGGTCAGTTTCGGTTACCATGAAGACCAGGCCATTTTAGTTACTATGCAGACCAGACCATTTTAGTTACCATGCAGACCAGGTCAGTTTTGGTTACCATGCAGACCAGACCATTTTTTTTTTATTTCATTCATTTATTTACAAAGTTAAAATATACCAAAAATTCAAGTAAAGAATAGCGAATATATCACAATTTGAACGTACTCCCATAGAACATACTATAAAAGCGATTATTTGTGGCCTTTTAAATCATCTGATTATGCACTTTCAGAGTTTCGGGAGATTCGGTTTGATAAGAATTATGGGGAAATTTTACAGTCGTCATCATTATCTCATTTTGGGCAATATTTCATTTCGTCGTGCGTTATGAAGGTGTACGTGTTTGATGTTCGTTAATTTGCCTGTTGGTTCCGTTGTTTTATACCTTGTTCTCTATTTGAGAACGTGGCATTACCTATCGGATTGACCAAGGTTGTTGATGAAGATGAAGACCAACCTTTCCCGGAAACTTGGTAGTTTTTAGGAGATTTGGAGTTTGTTTTCATTCGTTCTGTTTTTGCAATAGTTTCATTGAAGTTGAATTTAAGATTCTGTCGACTTGTCGATATCACTTTTATTGTTATGGAAGGTGATAACTGAAAATAATTAACATGATATCAAATATGATTTTCCCTTTTTTTCTGTTTTCTTAAAATAAAGGCACCGTGCTCTCTGTTTAGGTCAAAGAATAGAAGCCCCTGTTCATGATACCCTCCTATTTTGTAATTTTGACTCACTTTTTCATCGACAACATGTGCATGTTTGCAAGAACTTGAAAGAGTGTCTGGTTTTCGTCCCTCTGTAGAATCTAAACAATTAGTAAATTAAACCTGCCTATAGCACATTAGGTTTAACATTTAAAAAAAAATCCATATCCGAATATCACATTTATTGTTTTTCATAGCACATCGCGAGGTGTATAGGGGATTATAAACAGGATAAAGTACAGGTACATATTAAATGTCGGCCAATTCCTGTGCTGTTTTATCACGATCTTGCTGTTCTACAATGGTGTGATAACATGCCTGTTTAATTATCTAATCCTGCAGTCACTTAACTGGGTCTTCCACCATCCGGCAGCTATTGTTTTAAATCAGGTGTTTTCTTCTAAACTGTCCAGCTAATCAGGGCCTGTCACAATTAGACCATTCGACATGAGACTAACTAATGTGACATTACCATCAGGAGATAATGGAAACAGCCCATTACCTTTAAGCTTTTCATGGATTTTCAATTCTGGGCAAGTGACTCCAACCTTTGAACATGGCGGAAATGACAATATTTTTTTTACACTTGTTTATGCTTGTTGATAAAATACATTTGTTTATAACCATGTGTAGAAAACAGATTGATTAAAAAAATAATAATAAAGATCAGCTGTTTATTGAAATTGTCGTTTTTACCTAAAATGAATCTGAAAATTTTAAATGTTTCCATTAAAACACTTAAAGGCCATCGTGAACATTTCCTGTTTGGAATTGCTGTACACTAGTGCAGGAATTCGCCGACATACTAATCAAAACCATCCTACTATGTAAACAAGCAGTTGATAGAACTACAAACAGAAGCGCAGAAACCTTGAATCACAGATAATCAATATGTATAGTTTTTATTCCAGACCCTTATCATCACAGACGATTCCTAGAACGACGGAACAGCTATATGCTGTAGTTTAATTCATTATTTGGCTCTGCGGTGTCTAATTCTTAATTTGTATCAAATGTGCTATTATTTTTTGTGTCTTTTGTACAATTGTATAGCCCTGAAGGATAACAAAGAAGCCGGTGAGAACAAGAAATAACCAAGACAAATGGTTCGTGAAGATGTTATTGCTAGAAGAACTTAGATAGCCCGGGATGTCCAATATTATCGTTACCAAAGGTTTGGGAATAAATAATTAATGTTATTAAAAATCAAACTCCTGCCAAATCTAGGAAATCTTGAAATGACAATGACGAGAATTCTGAGATGAAGTCGGTGACAGTAAAACCCTACTGAATAGTTTATTAGTCAACGCAAGATATCTGTCCAGATCAAGATTATAAAAGATGATTAGGATCGCCCATTTCTTCCGGAACAGATATTGGACTCACCAAAGTAAAATCCCAAATGCGTGATTTGTTTGTCAACAGGAAACATCTATCAAGATATTCTTCACGCTAAAAATAGGACCCAGAGAACAAAATCGTTGATTTAACAGAAAATATCATGTCCTTTTTTATAACTGTAGAGAGAAAAATCAGTCGATAATGATGCAAACCTTTTTCTATCACATATTTTATTACATCGAATCAGTAATGAAACTGGGAGAAAAAATGGGAGAAAAAGGGAGGGTTTTGGGAGGGAAGACCAGATACTAGACACCAAAATGCAGTAAAAGTACTAATTTTCAACTAATCACGCAATAACGCATTCTGACCCAAACTTGGAAGAAGAAAATAGAAAAACACCAAAGAAAACAGCGTCATGTTAACAGAATCTTAATACAAATACAATGCAGATGATACAACTGGAAAGGATGAACAAAATAAAAGAAACCAGTTCAAGAAGAGCACCTGATGAAACACGCGATGGTAGCAATGTACTGTAGTCAGTTCGGCTATGCTTTGGAACATATTGCTCACCCCTATTCTAGGAACCCTACGTCTTTTTGATGTTTTGATGTTCGGACTCCGAATCTCCTGTTTCTTGTATCTGATTTTATATCTGTGATCTTTTCTTTGGGTGCATTATTCATTTGATGGACAAGGATATTTCTTGTTAAGTTTCATGGCAATACCATTTTTTTGATTTTTTAAATACTTTTTTTTTTAAAAATATGATTTGTCTTCGACATTTGATTTCGTGAATAAATATAGCTCAATAAATCGGCTTAGTGACAAATTTTAAAAATTCGTTGACATAATGAGAACCCGCGAAATCAGCCAAAATAATCAGCTGGTATTTCTTCTTTTGCAAAACTGGGAAATAATGTACACTAAACTGGGGTTTCCTTCTTTTTCGAGCATGTCCACGTCTTTTTGTATGCAGGAAATGTAATACGGTGTGTAAAGACGGAAAATGAGATGATTTTATTGAAGAAATATTTTAGAAGAGGATGTTCCACCTTGGACAAATGTTCAAACCTTGTGTAGTGTTAAAATATAACCTATTTAATGTTTGCATGATATTTCAAGACAACGCTTGCGCTTTTAATCCATCTTATCACTCACACCTGGTTGATATGTAATCTAACATGCAGTTTGATATTTTCTTTTTACTTATTTTTGACGAAAAAAAATACCAACATGTCAACATGATCATAATCCATACTCGAAATAATTCAAACTAAGGCAAAGTATTAACAACAGAAAGTTTACACGGAGAATCCTGAACAATTACAAGGAGAATAAGACCAGGTGTTTTGGAGGAGTAAGCGTCCTCTGCCTCATAGACGACACTCGCCAAGTAAACTTTTGTCAATCCAAGTAAATAATGTCACGTTCTCAAATGAGCACAAGGTATACAACAACGGAACCAACAAGCAAACTAACGAGCAACAAACACGTCCAGCTTTTACCGTATATTCTTGCATTATTGTGTTACTCCTCACGTCAACCATTTGTATTTTTACCAGGATGAACAGTGACAATCGAAACTTCTCATTTAAGTATAAAGAAAAAATTGTATAAGTTTAAATGTATCCGTAATGGTTATATCATAGACTAGAGCGGATATGTCAGTCATTACAACGTGAATCGTACGAGGGTTGAGCCCCGCCCCTTTCGTTGTGATGACTGACATATCCGCGAGAGCCTATGATATAACTTTTTTGTCGCATCTTGTGTCACGTGATGTGATAACTCAAATCTAATTTCAGTTTTGACATTAGAGGTCAAGATGTCAGATTACATAACAAATTCCTCGCCGGATCTGTCCGAGATTTTTGATGAGCTGGATGATATACATTGATCACAACTGATAGAACATTACGACGATGATCTAGAACTAGTTGACGCACTAGAAGGCCTTAATCAAGATGGTTAAGGGACATTCGACAAATATCTTCTTTCTGCAATTACGGATGATGATGACGACACGAATTAAAAAGAAAATGTTGGCCCTAGTGAGAGATTTGCTGAGCCGGTAACAATGGCGACTATACAAAGCTTAGTAAAGCAAAAGGAAAACAAAAACACGAAGAACTCAACAGAGTTGGTGCTGAAAACTTGGAAAGAGGGGTCGGAAAATAGGCAAAATGTTCCCAAACTTCATATAATGGATGTAGGAGAGCTGAACTACTTTCTCTCCTGTTTTGTTATTGAGTGCCGTAGAATAGATGGGACAGACTATACTACAGATACTCTTTATCAGATATGTGCAGGTCTCTTTAGACACATGATGAGTAAAGGCGTGTGTGATAAGAACGTTTTGGATACGAACGACCACAAGTTTGACGGATTTAGAAAATGTCTCGATGCTCGAATGAAAGATCTTTCTTCACGGGGGATCAGTACTAAAAAGAAATTGTCTGACCCGATCGACCAGGAAGACGAAGAAAAATTGTGGAAAACGGGATAGTTTGGATTAAATTCCTCCCAGTCTCTTTTAAATACGAGGTTTTTTGACAACTGTATTCTATACAGAATACTGTACTATTCGGTCTTCGGGCCATGGATGAACACAGGCCTTTGCAGTGTGATCAGTTTTTTTTGTGTGACAGTGATAACACGGGTACATTAATTCAGTTTGACGAAAAAACAAGCAAAAACTGTCAGGGTGGACTAACACACAGAAAAGTAGAAGCAAAACCCTTGAAACATTATCCAACCGCTTGGAAGGAGAGGTCCTTGTATGACATTTATAAAGTGTATCTTGGAAACTCATGACCCTTTCTACCGCCGTCCCCTTGACGGCCCCGGACTACGATTTTCAATTTAACCAGTTGAAGTAAACAAACTTTCCGTGCTAATTAAATCATGCTGTACAGCCGCCGGCCTCAAAGGTCATTGCAGTAATCACTCTGGAAAGAGCACTTGCGCCATATCATTGTTTCAAAGAGGTGTTGACAAACAGCTAATTTTGTCCAAGATCGGCCACCGGAGTACCGTGATAAGGGCCTACAAGCGACCTTGTCCCGCACAGGCGGTCGAAGTAAGTAAAATTCTTTATCCTCTTATACCAAAAGTGAAAGTAGAAACTGTGACGGAGCCTAGAGTCAGCCTGGTATAGGCAATCAACGATTTCATTGGATAAGATGTGTTGGCCAAGGAGCTTCTCCGAATCCGAGGAATATACTTTATGGTATAACCAAAATTACTTAGTTATACCATGACTAGATCAATGGACAAATGACACGTCTATGCGACAATATACGTTCTATCGTTTATTATTTATGGCCGTAGGAAGAAAACAGAGATATAAGCATACTCAATCCAAACAATAGTCTCCGGTATCTCCATATCCTGAAAACACGCTTAATCCAAACAAAGTCTTTGTTTATCTCTACGAGACACTTCCAAAAATGTACGCATTGATTAGGACGTAAATAGATCCGTCGTCCAGTTGTTTTATCGAAATGGATGGTCAAACCGTTCGTACAGATTTTGAAATATTGGAATAGCTCTTAACGTTATTGGGTGAGACGCCGTATGAGAGACCATATTAGTCCCCAACCCCACCCCTATCCCCACCCCCACCCCACCCCCAGTCTTCGAACATTCAAAATAATCGCATTGTTCCTGTCACCTTACTACTTAATAATATTTCTTGCTTCCTAAGTGGTTCAATAGTCGATTAAGTGCTGAGATACAAAACACAAAAAAAACTGAAGACAGTCTAAGGGGAATAACTCCTATAAAAAGTATGGTATACACCGTCGAGTTGTACTGGGGACGGAAAACTGTAGACAGGTAGCCCAGCCACTCACTGTTTACTTTACATAATGAATGTTTGGAATACATATTAACAATTTCTGTAAATGTTTGAGCGTCTTTGTTTGTAATTTAGGAATTATTGTTTCGCTTTTTACAAAAAATAGCAACAGAAATGTGTTTTTCTATCATTTGTAATAATATATATAAACAATTTCCTTCCCTGTTTTCTTTTTTTTTGAAAGTAAACAAATAAAACTTGTTAATGAGTTTCATTAGAAAATATGAAAATAAACAATAATTCATTAAAACACTTAGCGATATTTACTTCCCAATGCATAAATAAACAGCTTACAACAAAAAGAATTTTAAATCTCGTTATGCGTAAGAATAGTGCTAGGGTTCTCAATCATTACATTGTAACTCACGTTGTTTTACATCTTGGTTAAGTGGCGGAGTATGGTGACCCCCACTCATGTTTTTCATCCGTGATAACCATAGTTTTACATATTTCTGACAAATCATAACTTGTTTACCCACTTTATATATGAATAATGCCATGCCGTATTTTTTTCAGGCCTGTCATCATTATGTCTATGTATTAACGCATTTGGAAAATGCTTTAAAAGTCACCATACTGTGACCATATTCATTCACGTCATTCCTGTGGTTGTTTATGAGACAAGAAGGAGGATGCATAAATCACGTTACGCTTCAAAGATTTTAAACAAAACCCAAAAATTAGATTGCGGATGAATGTCAACTTCTGGCTTCCTAGTGAATCATTTTAAATAAATACCACCGCTCGCTGATAGATTTTATTCATCAGACAAATTTCACTCAAAATGATAGTCTTAAACCTAAATAAAGATTCAAATACACAAGAGAACACAGCAAATTCTCTAAACCTGACACATGACTAAAACTCAACAGCCTAGAACTAAACCCCCGTACTTAATCAGTATACTAGCAAAAATTACACATTCATTTGGATCCAGAAAAAATACATTTCTGCTTAAAATCCTTGCTAAAACTTCTGCACTGTTTGAGCCATTGAATTTTTCAAAAATGGTTACCAGATTATGCGATGTCCGCCTATAGATTGGGGTAAGAACATTCGAGTTAGTTCCCTTCGTTTGCTACTCGGTAAAACCATTAGGATTTTGTCTCTTGGCAATAATGTTTATTCTCACGGACACATAGCCGGTTCCATTTGGTGTAAAAAAACGGAGGTCATATTCTTCTCGAATGATAATCAATAGCTTGGTATATAGTGAGGTGATTTATAGACTAAAGGAGCGTTATCTCGAAGTTCATAGCTGCATAATAAGGTTTGGGAGAATTTCACTCAACGTTCTCATTTCGGAACGTGACTTTACTTATTTGTTATTGTTTGGCACTACCGATTTTTTGTAATAAATACAACCATACTATTTTAGTTCAAGAATCAAATGTTTTTTTTCCAGTATTTGAAAGCGTGGAACAAAATTTTTTATCAGTTCGTTTCCTTTCAATAAACGCAAACGTGTAATTTTGAATGTTTTTTTGGTTGTCTTGTAACGGCATTTATGCAGTTATGGTCATCTTAAAGGACAACATTTTGCAAGCATATCTCATATTGCGACCTATCAGAACGATCAGCTTATAGTCGAAATACAGACCTCGTTTATATTTCTAAACTTTGTTTGGAAGTAGAATTCCCCCCAATAAATTCATTGTGAAAACTACAAAACTTTCCAATATTCTTCATTAATCTGTATGTCTTGGTTGGTTGATCAACTGGTATTCTGTCTTCGCAACCCCTCCTGTGTCCGGGCATCGTAACCGACGATCGTTAGTGTTCTGGCGACGTTCTCTGTATGTCTCAAATCCCTAAAGTTTCTTTTTTGAGAACAGCGAGTTTTACAAAGACAACCATTCCTCATTCCAAACTGACGGCAAACCTTCATCCAGTTATGAAAATTTTCTTTTCTATGGAAGGTGAACTGCTGTTTAGATATGGGGACAAACTTTATAAGGGGGGTACTTCAGTAAATGTAGGTTTAAAACAAAACTAAAATGATCGAATGTCTGGTTTAGAAAATCTTCGGTGACTTGGGCAGTAAGATCTTCAAATAGCAAACCAACAAACTGTGCTTTTCACCTTGGGTACATGATCCTTTTCAAATGAAACTGAATTTAGCGAAGAGATAACAAAGACCTTTCTAGATTCACTATCAGATATGATACTGATAATGAAAAGGAAATGTATTGATCATGTCGATCAATTATACCTGCCAAAAATAGATGAAAGATAAACTCTTTATTGTTAACCGTTAATTTCGTTAACCAGGTAATCAACAGGGACAGCTATGTCCCTGGGTGTTTGATAAAAAGAATCATTTTGGATTTCCTTCTTATGGGTTTACCATTTCTAGATAGCAGCCACCTGACTTCCCGGATCGAAGTGTTAAAATGTCGAAGTTGATCCTATATTCATGGACTTGTTCCAAGACAAAGACTTCCTTAAAAGATGTCGATACAGGTTGATGAAGGTTATATGGAAATATTTTATGATAGCAATCACTCATTTGACAAAGCCCATTTTCTGTGGATGATATGAAACTAAATGTACACGTTGACTTTAAATATGCCTGGTGGTTCCGTTGTTATAAGCCTGGTTGTCAGTTGAAAAGTTGACAACATAGTCATTGGTCGAGAAGCAGAGGACGCTCACCCTTCCAGAACATCTCGTATGTTTCTATACTGTTCTGTCTTTGATATAAATAAGCCATCAGACTCAATATGGCTACTTAATTTAAAGATTTAATTGAAGACAAGTGAAGATCAACTGTCAATACAAATATATTATTAGATAAAATAGAGCAATAGAAATCAACCTGAGAAGGAGGAAATCAGAAATGTCAACTTTTATATGAGTTAAATAAATATTATTATTTCATACATCTGATAATTTAAGTCGAGTACACCTATATATTCTGATCTGTACCAATTTATCCGCCAGCAGTATATAGCATCTAAAAGTCGAGGAGATCGTACAAAAGACACAAATGAATAACACATTTCGATATAAATTAGGAACGAGTGAGTAATAAATAAATCATAAACGTTAAGATGCTTCGTTCTTCTCAGCTCTAAGATATAGAACGATGTTTTAATTTCTCTATTTTCTGTTTTGAATTTGCTTCCCCGCATTCGGTGTTTACATGTTGCTGTGTATTCAATCTCCAGTGATGGTTTGGTGTATAATATATATATATATAATAATATTTGTAAACAAGGCTTTAGTGAAGCCATATCAGCAGTCACATTCGTTTCTCCGTTTTTTTTAGACGGGAACTTAAGTGTAGTCTTGACATCGTCTCAGAGACAGTCTCAGAAACAATTTGACTGTCCATACTCATGTGATAAATCATAAAAGCTATTTCTTGGTTAAAACACTACAAGTAAAAATCTATTTTTGTGCGATAGCGGTTTGAAAAAAAAATTGCAAACTTCAAAAAGGACTGCTTCCAATTTAAATAATTTTACATCTCCTTTCAAATAGTGATTTGTAGTAAAAGTGTTTGGTATAATACAACACAGATTTATATACATGTGTTAAATGACGAGACTGTAGGAAAGTTATTACTTTGGCAGCTCACCTTCGGTGTTTTGCATGCATTAAAACTGATAATCATGTGTACAGACTTTTAAGATAATTGGTTT